ATATATGGATAAACCGGAATATGGATGAATTGAGTGAGAAAGTGAAGTTACGCAACAAACTCGCTTTGGAGCTTGAGTCGGCAGAGACGGAACTAATAAAGAAATGCAAGAAGGCGCAACTTAAACAAGCCAAGGCTCAGGCTAAAAAATCCGGCAAAAGCTCAGCGGAAATGGATCGTGAAAAGCTGGCCGCGGAACAGAGAGCTTCCCGTCTCGTTCGGGAACCTGGAGTCAGCTCGGGGGATCCTCATCAGGCTCATACTATTCGGGAGATATTGCATGGCCGAATGGAAGAATCGAACACAGCACCAGATGGACGTGGTAATCGTTCTTTTATCCCACTTGTCGGTGACGGGGTGGGGGCCGTGGGCTCCGGAGTAGCAAAGATTGGGAAAACAGTCTTGGGCGGTTTCAGAAAGGCTGGTGACACCGTTGACGGCAGATTTAAAACCACTGGTGGGTTTGATGGTGAGGTAGGAAAAAGTACTGGAGGTACACAAAACGATAGAGCTGCCGATGACGCCAGCTCTGAATTCAGACCTGAAAAGCCTGCTGTGGGTCTGACGAAAGCTGGAACCACTGTGGGCAACCGACGAGAGGAGGCCCAGCAACAGTGTGGAGTGAATACCGATTTCCCCCTTGAGGGGGACGGGGCTCGATCCTCCGGAGAAACGTATCTGGAAGGACCCCCTGCGATGGATGGCCCGGCTGACCAACCACCACGTCCAGCGAAGTTAAATCTGTGGAAAAGCTCGAAACCAACAAACCCCAACCCCAATCCTGACCGTCATGACGACCGGTATCCACTGACCCAGCCTTCCCCGGTCGCTCCGTCTACTAAGGAGAAGAAAAAGAAAAAAACATGGCGATTGAAAAAGCATGCTCCTGCTAAGGAAGGCGACCAGGTTGCAGGCCAGGAGTACCCTATGGCGTATAACGAAGAGTTCGAGGAAGACGATTATGGCGACCCTCTGTGGATGAAATATATTAAGGAGAAGGATCGTGAAACTATGCGTCTACCTATTTTTGGCTGGGCATGGATGCCTTCTTTGCCCCTTCTTGGTAAGAAAGTCGATAAGATCTATCACTGTCGCCAGGAAGTCGCCCGCTTAAACCTCGAAATCGAAGTCGATCAGCGGAACCCGGAGAAATTTCCACTCATGAACTCGGCTTTTGTACAGTTTAACCATCAGGTGGCTGCACATATGGCATGTCAATCTGTGAGCCATCATATCCCAAAACAAATGGCTCCGCGTTTGGTAGAAATATCTCCTGACGACGTCATTTGGGATAATATGTCCATCAAATGGTGGGAGCGGTACTTGAGAACATTCGGTGTGGTCATTATTGTTGTCGCTATGGTTATAGGCTGGGCTTTTCCAGTTGCTTTTACGGGTTTACTGTCTCAGCTTGCATATCTGGAAGGGAAGTTTCCCTGGCTACGATGGATTGCTTCAATGCCCGACTGGTTGATTTCAGCTGTCCAGGGTATATTGCCGCCACTATTTCTTGCTATCCTCATGGCCCTGTTGCCGCTAATTCTCCGATTTCTATCCCGGAACCAAGGCGTGCACACAGGGATGGCTGTCGAGCTAACAGTGCAAAATTATTATTTTGCATTCTTGTTCGTTCAGATATTCCTTGTTGTCTCTATTTCGTCCGGTTTCACAACGATTTTCAATTCCATCACGGACGTGACAAGTATTCCCCAGCTTCTGGCTGAGAATATTCCTCGGGCGAGTAACTATTTCTTTTCCTACATGGTACTTCAAGCGATGTCTGTCAGCGCAGGTGCATTGGTTCAGATTTTTGCACTCGTTAGCTGGTTTATACTAGCCCCGATTTTAGACAACACTGCGAGAATGAAGTGGGCGCGGACAACCAACCTTAACCAAATGCAATGGGGCACCTTCTTTCCGGTCTATACAACGCTCGCGTCCATAGGTAAGCGGTACTATTTTTTTTTTTTTTTTGCAACCCCCGTTCTTGAATTTGACCCATGTTTTCTAACGTACGAACGCCATATTTATAGGGCTTATCTATTGCGTCATTTCTCCGCTTATCATGGTATTCAATGTACTCACATTCGGACTCTTTTGGTTTGTATATCGGTACAACACGTTATACGTCACGAAGTTCCGCTTCGACACGGGTGGTTTGCTTTTCCCGAAAGCCATCAACCAACTTTTCACTGGCATCTACGTCATGGAAATTTGCCTAATTGGCATGTTTTTTCTTGTTAGAGATGCAGAGGGGAATTTTGCCTGTGAAGGCCAGGCAATCTGTATGATCGTCGTTGCCATTCTGACAGTCGGCTTTCAATACCTTCTTAACGAAGCATTCAACCCGTTATTCCGATATCTACCAATAACGTTGGAGGATGAAGCTAGTCGCCGAGATGAAGAGTTTGCTCGTGCCCAACGACGGAAACTAGGCCTAGAAGAGGAGGACGAAGAGGAGAGCGATGACGACGAGGACAGTGAATTCAACCATGGCGAAAGGCTAGACGAGCAGGGCGATATCAAACTTAACAGAATCCAGGGCGGAAAGCAAAAGACAGGAAAAATAACCCGTCAAGTCGGTAAACTTATCCCCGGCAAATCAAAGCGCATTTCATGGGCTGATCGGTCCAAAAACAACCGCTCCAAATTCTTTGGCGGGCGATCCGACGCCACCGTCCCAACTATAAAACGCATGCGTGAGAAGCTAGCACAAGACGCTGAATCCCAGGCCCCGCCTACCCACGCCATTGGCCAAGCACTATTCTCCGGCATCCACGATGAGCTGGAAGATCTCACGCCGGACGAGCGCGACCAGCTTGTCCAGCGGGCTTTCCAGCACGAAGCGCTGCGCATGAAACGACCCGTCATCTGGATCCCTCGGGATGATCTGGGAGTCAGTGATGATGAGGTGTTCCGAACGCAGCGGTTGAGCAAGCATATATGGATAAGTAATGAGTATCAAGCGCTGGACGGGCGGTGTCGGGCGATTTTTAGTCGGAGTCCTCCCGATTTCTCTGAGGTGGATTTGATTCAGCTCTGAGCTTGGAGGTGTCGTTTCGCTTCTGTGCAATTTTTGGTGTATCGGTCTTGTGTCCCTGTCTGATCTAAGGTTTTCTTTTTTCTTTTGTTCTCTTTCTTTTTGGTGGGATAAACCCCATTGCAACGGCGTTTTTCGAGAGATGGTACTCTCTCAAACTAATGGAGAGTAGACAGAAAAGACCAGAAGCGAAAACATAACCAAAAGGGAAGGGGATGGCTTGTTTTCGAATATTTTTTTCCCCCATTCTGACAGACGACGACGACGACAATTACAAAGAACCAGAAAAAGGGATGAATTTGATGGTTTCCACACGAACCTATCTGCGCCTACTTTTTATTGGACCCTGCTCCGCCATACCTCCCCAATCCTTCAACACATATTTATACACACACACAGCATCTGTATCTAGACTGTTTATCGTTTAGCCTCATGGCGGGGAGTTGCCACCACCGCTTCCTGTAAATAGAATACATACATAGATGGGCCGATTCGATCGATGGGCCCCCTCCCCCCGGGGCGGCCATGTCTACAGCAATCATGCTTGACCGCCGCTCTCTCTCTCGTTCTCCCCCTCTCTCTCGCTATCTTGCTAGTCAGCTTTTACTCCTAAATATTTCACTCACCTTTTTTTTTTTTTTTTTTTTTTTTTTTTTTTTTTTTTTTTTCCTGTGATCGTTTCGCTTCGTTGCTTTGATGGTGGAGTTAGGTCCTTGATCATGCAGACAGGCAAGACATGAATGGACGGTAGTTCTTTTATAAATGCCAATGAGGGAAGTAACAACGAGAACAACGGCAATAATAAGAATAATAATAATGTAAAACGATACGTATCATATCTTTCCTTCCTGTCCAGGTTTCGATATTATCTATGATGCCAAGAGAGTGAGATGGGGCCCTCTGATTTTCTTCCAGGTGTTTAGATGTTACGTGAGGCAAGTCAAAAAGCCTCTTCTCTGTGCTGTCAGTCTGAGCCACCGACAGCATTCTGGGAGGCCAGATGCTAATCATTGTTAATTGCATTCCCCAGTCTTCATAGGCATTCGATTTAGAGGAGCTGGGGTTGGAGTGTGGTGGGTGTTTGTGGGAGTTGGAGGGGTTGGTTGGCCCTTGTACGTCCCTCTCTTCCCACACTCCCTCCCTCCTTTTAACTGCCAACCGGCCATGTGAAAACTCTCCGTGGGTGGACGCGGCTTTCGAGTCGAGACAAGACGAGAGCAAATGAGACAAGGAACAGCCTGATGAGAAATATGGCTGGGTGGCGGCTGGTCGTTGGTGGAATGTGTGGCACATGGGAACTTGGGCTGCTACAGGGAACACGTTTTGCAGAGGCTGAATGTGACGGATGTTGTTTTATGGCCCTGTTCCAGGCCAGGGTCGGTGGGAAACATCGCACAGTGGAAAACAAAAGGAAGGACAGAGAGAGGCCGGAAATTGTTATATTTTAAGACTGGGTGGTGTGGTTTTGGTTACACTGTTTCGCTTGCGAAGGAAGTAAATATTTAAGCAAGCCCCCTTACCTATTATTGGAGTTGATAAATAGACAGACAGGGTTTATGTGACTTGCTGGCTGCCAATGTTGGAGAAGTAACCTTCATTTTACTTCGGCCTGGCGTTGGCTGTTGGAGACGAGATATGTCTGCAGCCCTTTTCCCTTTTCTTACATGTAACTTGCTATATAAAGAGACGGTCGAGCGACGAGCATCGACGGATGCCTTTTTCCCATTTTTGCCCTTTGTCTCCTCTAGGATCTACCGTTATTTATTTACCTTGCATTTAATGGGACCTAGTTACGTCTTTTCTCTGCGTATATATGCGAGAATGCTTGGGCTGTCCCGCAAACATACATACAAGTGACTTACTTACCTTTAACTCACGTTGCGGCTGAAGAAGACAAGAAGAAAGACCCTTTAGATCCAATCTTACCAGCTGCACCAAAGCACTGAAACATAACTATACCAATGCCCTCCCTTAGGTCTCTCCGCCTCTATCTCAACCTCCCCCATCTCCTCCTCCTCTTCACCGCCCTCTACACAACCCTGACATCTGCCGCCAGCTGCATCAGCACCAATGAGATCAACATCTGCTGTCCGGGCTCCCTATTCGGCGGCCTCACCTCCGGCGGCAATGGCAAACCAACCGCCCACGGCATCTGCTGCATAGACCCTTCCACCATCAGACGCAGAAGCATCGACGACAGCGACGACAACATCATCGTCATCAACGAAGCGCTCCACCGCCGCCAAGCCGACAGAGTCGACATCAACCCAACAACATGCAGCGAGAACCACATCCTCATCCCGCTCAGCGCAACTGACTATTCGCAGAAGGTGTCATCGGTCATGGCTTCCATTAGTAGTGGTGGCAGTGGTGACCCCTCGAGTACAAATACAGGTACCGCTGCACCGACGGGCGCTGCTACAACCACGGGTGGAGAATCATCAAGCGCTGCGGTGACGACGACGGCCACGACAACGACACCGTCGAGTACCGGTGGTATGCCTGCAGCAACCGGACAGAGATCGTACGTTGCTGTCATTGGAGGGGTTGTGGCTGCGGCGGTGCTTGTTGCTGGCGGTTTGTAACTGAGTTTGATCGGCCGGTACATGTGTCGGCCTGTGGGTGGGATGGGGCTTTTGATAATGATATAAATGATATGAACACATGCATGTGATTTGGGAACCGCGCGGTGGAGTGGGATGGGGGAAAAAGCTGAAATTGAAATATGGTCTTTTTCCCTGTGATGAGGCGGAACGAGTTTTATATCATCAATGCATTCATTATCCTACATCATCTCTTTCAACTCCATTTTGCATGTTTCTTTCTTTTGTTCCATTTTAGGATTCACAGAGAGTCCCCCGCAATTTTCAGGTGTATGTGGGATTGATTTTGGATGTGGATTGTTTGTCACCTTTCTATGTTGTGACTTTCCCTCTCAAAAATGGTGATGAATTCTTTCCCCGAGACATTCTTGTGGCGATATTCTGCTGTATGACCACACAACAAATGCATGCAGAGTACAGAAATATCTGTTTATTAAAGTTAAGTTAGCATGATATAAGATATGACATCATCTCTTTCAGATGTAAATTCCCCCTCCAACAAAAATCATCAGAGCTCGAGAACACAACAACGTCGGAGCCCTCGAGGGCAATTGAATGGACTTTCTTCCGGATAATATAGCTATGGATTTAGAGATTATTTTCACTACATACGAATTTGAGCTCAGGATTTATGTAAACTCTCCGCTAAACCGGTGCCGGGGATGCGGGGATCTCGGGGATGTATTGTAGGCAATGAACCCCGCTAGACCCCGGCAGAGCCCCGCCACATTGTGCTCTATATTTCCGGCTTCTGATAACCATCTTCTCTTCTATCTTTTCCCTTTCCTTGCATCAACCCTGCGAACATACAATATTTGCGTAGCAGAACATTACACAATCTGACTTCACAATTGTGAGTTTGACAGGCTGTTGTTAAATTAGTTGTTCCTACCTTCATTGACCTTCAAAGAGCTGGTAACTAACCACTATATAGAAGCAAACTACAGATTCAAAACACCATAATTTGACATCAAACACAAACAAAGATGTGCATGCAATCAATCTGCTCTGTCTGCTGTAAGTAATGCACCCTCACACACACCCACAAACAGACTCCATCCTCTCCTCCCCTCTTCTCCCCTCCCCTCTCCTCTCCTCTATTCCCCTTCCCCTCCAATCAGCCAGTCCGCCAATCCGCTAACCAAATACCTCTCGGAACCCAAACAGCCAAGACCACCTGGCGAGGCTGCGGCCAGCACATTTCCAGCGTCATGGACTCCATCCCCACCGACCAATGGTGCACCTGCACGCCCAAAACGAAAGTCAGCGAGAAGGAGTATCCCCCGCGCGCCGGTGAAGGGACCACGGCGGCGCTTTCTTGAAGGCGGTGGAATTTTGATATGATTTTTTGAGGGGGAACGGGGAAAGAAAGAAAGGGGGGGGTTCAATGTCAATTGGGAGGGATGGTCTACTGTAGAACTTTTTTGCTGGTTTTTTACTGTACATACATGCATACATCAGGGACGCACAGGTTGTTAGGAGGACTGACTAGACTATTGAGAGAGGGAAGAGCGGAACTATGGAATCAACATACATAATAAAGATTCTTTCAATTTTCCTATTTTATTTCCTATTAAAATGAATTTGCTATGCAAAACCGATCCATGGTTTGTTCCTTGCGTCCTACTCTAGACATAGAGCTTCGTCATAGCTAAGGAACTGCGCAAGACATTTAGTTTTGCTTCTGGTATGTGTGTATCCAGACTACCTCTGATTAACTTGAATCTACTTGCATGCGATGGAGGACGTTATACCTAAAAAATACATACCGTGTTATGTCGTAATGATGATACACCCCTCACCCATAGCAAACCCTAACACATGCCGTATTAATACGCATCCGATACACTTCAAAACTGCCGACATCCCTTGCTCATCGGCCATCGTCTTGTCGCTTTCCTTAGTTATCCCACGACGAACCTCTCACCAGCTCTTCTTATATTTAGCCAGCAATATCTACTAAAAATACCCCTTTGCTTCTCGCTTTGCTGCTCATCGTATTAATCCTTAGCATTTCAGTGGCATTTATACTGTGATCTGACTGCTCCCCCATCATCCCCGCCAAAGTGCCGAATTTTAGCCCCTCCGGCTCCCCCCCACGAATTGTTTCCACCCCCTCTCCTAGCTCCGCCCAGCTACTGTGCGCTGCATGCTTAGGCCTAAACAGCAAAGCATAGCGCATACATATACCTCAGCTCAGTAACAACATTTAAACCAAATCGCCAGGAAAAGGCAAAAGATATGCGTCCAGCTGGTCCGAGGGATCCAGTTGCAGGACCCGACTCCGGCCCTCCTGCGCCGTATCCTATGAAACTCTCCGGCCCAGTCATCAAGGGCTTTGGGAGGGGGAGTAAGGAGGTATGTTTTTTTTTTTTTTTTTTTTTTTTTTTTTTTTTTTTTTTTTTTTTTTTTGAAGTAACTTCAAATGCATGTTTGATCTGATTCGTGGCCCTGCTCGCTGCCTTGTCGTGGCCCTGTTGATGGGCTAGCAATTTTATATTACCCTGATGCCCAGTGAGGAATTGGCGGGGATCTGCCTCTTTTAAGGATGCACATGAGTCCTTATAGTCGATGCATATTTCTTATATGCACTTTCTATACCGCTATATGGACACTTTATACCATTTTGGAGTTTCTTTTGTACAAACAAATGGCTACATGAAGATTGTCTTCGCATGTAAAGCACGGGGAATATCAAGCCCACCACGCCAGCCGTCCCCCCCCCCAAGGTTCCCCTCTGCTACGCCATTGAATAATCACATACTAAAAGACTTAACTAGCTCGGCATTCCTACCGCCAACATCCCCCCAGACTCCCTCTCCCCTTATGGAGACGTAGAGTCGGGCGTATACTATGGCGTCGCCGCGCTCGACCCATCCAAATTCAAATATAAGGCGGGAAGTGACGAAAATATTCAACCAAACGGTGCCGCCGTGACACAAGCGACAGAATCCAATTCTGAAAATGAAAATCAAAATCAAAATATCTTCCCCTGCGTTCTGAGCATAGGGTACAACCCCTTCTATAAGAATACAGTTCGGTCTGTGGTATGTATCTATATATCTCTTTTCTAGTTTTCATCACCTGTATACTCCTGGCTCCCTCACGACCATCCCATCTCTCTATGTTACTACAAGAAAAGAAAGAAGGGCAATAAATAAGAAAAGGCAAAAATATGATTTTTTTTTAAAAAAAATTCAACCAAAAAGCCAACAACCTCTCCCATCTAACCTCACCCACCGCTCCACACAGGAAATCCACCTCCTCCCCCAATTCACCCACCGCACCACCCCATCTTCGCCATCGCCAAATTCCACAGACCAGCCAAACCGCTTCTTCCGCATTCCCGATTTTTACGGCACGCGCCTAAACCTGCTCGTGCTGGGCTACATCCGGCCAGAATACGACTATGTCAGCCTCGAGGCGCTAGTAGAGGATATCCGAATTGATTGCGAGGTGGCGAAGAGGAGTTTGGAGAGGCCGGGGTATTTATGTTATGTGGAGGGTGATGCTGTTGGTGGAGAAGGGGACAGTGATGGTGGTGGTGTAGCGAAGGGGGTTAGGGAGGCGAGGGGTTGGTTGAGGGGGTTTTAGTTTGAGGAATGTAGAAAGGGGAGGGAGGAGGGAATGTTGAAGTGTATTGTGTGCAGTGATGACTTTCTTTGAATGTCATTTTTTGTGCTCTTGCCCTGATTCTTTATACCTTGATCAATTTCTCCTTCAAGATGTTTTTTTTTATTTTTTTATTATTATTATTTTCTTCCATTGTTGATAGTGATTGTTTTAACAGCCGCAAATAGATAGATGAAGTAGATAGTCTATAGATACCATACCTAGAACATTACATGCACATATAACTATAGACTTGATTGACAAGACTCATCTATTCTAGTTTCTTTCTTTTCCTGTTTTCTTCGTAATCAGGTTAGTAGCCTCAACCCCATATTTCTAATCATCACTTACTGCTGTTTGAAAAACAAAATAAATTAAATAAAATAAAATAAAATAAAATATAAAATAAAATAAAAAATTGCATTCACTTCATCATCATTCAACAATCTCACTCGAATCATTCATTGCTATCATGTCCATGAAAATACATCATCAGCATACTGATCAACAGATATGCCTGCGAACATAGCCATACTGAATTTGGGGATATATATACATGCAACATTCATCAAACATCAAAATCCTTATTCTAGCTCATTCACTTCTTCCATAAGAAGGTAAGGAAAGAAAAAAACATGTCACCAAGTAAACAACAAAATCCCAAGGCCCAATAATGACAAACTACCCCAAATCTTTTTTCCAATACCAAACTTTTCATCCCTTGCTTTTTTGACCCCTCAGCCAGAGCCAGAACAAGAAAGTGATTTAATTGCTAAAACTGATGTGACCGACGTTCGCGCCTTGGTTGATTAAATGCAGGGTAGGAACTATATACCAGGATTCAAAACGTTAGTTTCAAATAAACGAAAAATAAAATAAAATAAAATAAAACACCGCGGACGCGGGACTAAAA